CATTGTTCTCATTTAGTGGACTCACCATAAATCATATTTTATTAATTTCATATTATTTCTCCTCTAATTCTCTCAGCTACTTTTGTTTTTTACAATTTTATATCCTTCCACCTATCTCACTACCTCCATATTTTATTACTTTCTCCAATATTTCCTAAAGCTCTGCGCATAGAAAAATGGAATAAGTATTTAAAACGGAAAGAGTATATCAATACCAACAAAACACTTTTGTATTCCTTGATCGATATCACTGAAATAAGGTTGTTGGTATCATGATGATATCATCTGAATTATAATGAAATACCAACGCGTGTTATGAATTTTTTTTCCCCTAGTGCGATAAAAGTGAATGGCGAATATACCCTTATTATAATTCCTCCCAATATGATACCAAATAATGGTAGTTGACCGTCAATCATCAAAGATTCAAAGCCACGTACATAAAATCTCAAAATATCTTTATTACACGGCTAATTGAAAACACTACTATAGTACACATCATTTGAAATGTCCGATACATATTGAACACGTGTCAACAGTTGATTAACACGTACAACATACACCATCAGCCACCAGCCCACCACCTATTAGAAGTACTCCGTAGTAGTCTTTCAACAAATGAACTAATGAAGGCACACATGAAAGGGAGCAATGCCGGAATAAACCCTTATAGGACGTGGGTCCGATGAGTCACGGTCTCATGGCTCGATCACATGACTTATAGTAGTAGGGGTTAATAAAGGTCGGACCCATTCCAATGAATTCTCCCTTTTATCACTGACTAAACATTTTTGTAACTTAGTAATAACTAGTTTGCCTATGTCACATGGACCTTCGTAAATCTTCTCAACATTATTGTTCATCTTCAGTATTTCTATGCAATTATATGTTATGATTGGCCTCATGATTCCTGTTTTTGGTACTCTTCTCCATGATTTCTTCACTTATTTTGTAAGCGACGCTTTCTATCCCTCGATTATTATATTATCTTTTAGTACATGTGTACATACAAGATACGACGTATTGTACTTGTGATAATTACATAACACAATTCTTACACCTTACAATTAAATAAAAGGCTTTCATTTCGTTTCGAGTAAGTACAGGATACAACGTATAACGTATTGTACTTGTGAGCTCACTAGTCACTCCAAGCCAATAATATTTGGAGTACGGTTACTTTAATTATGTACAAGATTTACATCAAATTGAAATTAAACAGCTTGTAATAATGATTGAACATAAACTTATCCTACTTGATTAGAGCTACTTGATGTGTGTATAGTTTTTGTTTATTTGTCTAATTGTCTGTAAACTTTACCCAAAAGTTAGCTAGAATGTATATAGAAATGGACAATCCTAATTAAAAAGTGTGCATAGAGAATAATGGAGAAAGTACTCCGTATAACTTTTAAACCGCATTGATTTATAGCTTTTAGACTGCATTGGTTTAAAATTATGAGTACGATTATTTAAAATAAACACATGATAATGCTTTACTCAATTTAGTATTTAAATGTTTTGGTAGAAGTGGTGTATCTAACATAATTGATTCTCCATATTTGTTTGGCAAAAGATAAGACCAACTACGACGTTGAAAGCCTAGATGATCAGCTATGAAAACAAATTCAATTCTTTGTTTAGCCCTACAGATTATCATATATATACTCTTTTCGTCTCAATTTATTGATTAGTAAACATTTCATGTTCACTCTAATGCTAGCTTTTTATTTCCTTTGTTTCAAAATAATTACACCATCTGCTTTTTTACGTTCTCTAACATAATAATTTCTACGTAGTATATTATCTTTTATTGTACATTAGTGTAATTTACATAATTACAGTAAACTAATTCTTTTATCTCTCACAAATAATATCTTATTACACCTGATTATAAAGTCAAAGTTTCTAAATTTGACCTCTAAAAAAAGAAATGGTACGGTACAACTTCATTTATCAAAATGTACAAGTACTATGAAATCAATAGAAAATCCAACCAAATTATGCATTAATAAAAATTCTCTTTAAAAGGGGAAAAAAAAAAAGTATACTGCTGGCGTAGTTCAATTTGCTAAGAAAGATCTAAAGTCTCAACAATGATAACTAAAGTAAAAAGGTTCTTGGAAGATATTTATGTAATCAATTATAATTTTAAACTTTCTAATGATGATATTTTATATTTGTCCTTACTCGTAGTACTAATCTCTAATGATATGGAAAAAAAGTCACTAATTAATCAATCAAAATGAGATAACTAAGGTAGGTTTAATTCACCTAGTTTCCCACTAAGTATTAATTTCTTTTTGATTGTACATTATTATTATTATCTTCTATAATTATATACTTTATTAGTAGCTAGCCTAACAAGAAAGTTCTACTCTTGTTACTTCAAGAGGAACCATAATTTCAAGGTTTCAAGAGGTAGGAGTTAAGGTTTGGTATTCTAGTATTTAAAATCTAGAATAAAATAAAGTATAATTTCGATGACTAGGTTTGAAAGCAACCGAAACAAAAAAGATGCTTAATCCACATACATGGAAAATGTTCTTATCAAAAGATGGATCTAGAGTGCACGATCTCCTCATTTTCGTACATTCGATAATATAAAGATGATTTTTATCTAAGCTCAACTGCTCAATAATCAACAAAAAAGACATATTCCGAACTACACTTTATATATGCTCAGGTTGCGTGGTCACACTGTATGACCACTTATAAGAGAATAAAGTAACATTTATAACATTGATTAAGTAACTTCTGTAATACTGATCGAATAACCTCTAAAATACTGACTAGGTAACCCCTTCAACAATGATCAAGTAATTATTATTACTAGAGGGGGACCTTCCACCGGGGCCATTCGGGACCAGGCCCCCCATAAATTATTATATTTAATTATATAATAAACTTAAATAGCCTATATTTAGTGATAGTTTTGAACAAGAAATAAAATATTTAAATCCTGGCCCCTATAATATTTTCGGCCAAGATCCGCCACTGATTATTACACTAACTAAGTAACTCATATGATGATGGTTGGTCACACCGTATGACTAGCCACGGTAAATATAAAAATTTGTGATAAATAATATGGTAATTAGTTTTGTAAGACCATAAGTGAATCGGAAGCTCTAAGTTGGAAATGTAACTAAAGTTGTATAATATTTCGTGCCTTCCTTCTAAGCATATAAAATGTAATCTTAGAAAAATACTTATAATCAATTATATAATATTTTTTTTCTTAGTTGGTAGTTTGGTACATACGGTCCAATATGGAGCTATGAAAGTCAACAGTACACTTAACAGATGTTGAAGAATCTCTTACAAAATTTTCTTAAAAACTTTTGGGATAATCTAATAAAATACTTGTAGATTCAAGCTTTTTAATTCTGATCTGAGACCCAGAATAAATTTGTGAAAATTGAATGATATCCCCCACTTAACTTTCCAAGATGTTCCCTTCTAAAAAGCAAGACTCTTTGGATTTTTGTAAGTGGAAGTTTCTTTCTTTAAAACTAAACAAACAAATAAATAAAATTAGGAGAGTTATAAATATTGAATGTTGTCAATCTTGTCACATAACTCCAAATCCTTCATAGGCTTCAATTACAACAACTACAAAATTAAAGGGATAGATAATCTACACGAATTTAAATAAATTATCATGAAACATTAAAAATAATTTTACAATTAAAAAAAAAAAGAAAGAAAAGAAAAGAGTTGGCCTTAAAAATTTATTGTCAAAAAAATTCTAACATGGGAAGCAAAGTTACAAACAAGAATATACGTACATACACATAAGTACACAATTTTACATGGATTTTATTAATTCGATGGTTTCTCATAAATTAAGAAAACAAACTCTATTAAATCCAAATTTCCTAAACCTTCAAAAGAAAAAAAACACTTAGTAATGGCCTGGTGATAAATTGTGTCAAAAATCTCAAAGTATTTTTTATGTTAATCAATTTTTTTATCCATAAGTTCACATTTGTTTCTCCTCCCGCTCTTTTCTCCTTTTTTCAGCTTTGCTCTTGTGATACACGAAGTTGAATAACAAGCTATTTATTTAAGTATTGTCATAAGTCAACTTTGTCACCAATAAAGAATGTAAAAGAACATATCAGTTTAAATTCCATTTTCATATATAACTGAAAGCAAGAAGAACAATTTTTGTATGCCACATTAACGCAAAATGTCTACTAATCCGCAAACAAGGATAAACGTTTATACACTTGTTATTGTCTAAACCTTTAAAGTGTATCACTTTAAATTAAAATAATAAAATTGTATCACACGTTCACTTTATTCTTACATAGTCCGTCCTTCATATGTCCTCAGCTGCTTAAATCACTCCACACCTTCTCCACAAAACAAAGAGGGACCAAAAGTTTGGTAATATTACCCCATCTAACCTTCCCTTTTCCCAGCATAAAGGAGGTCACACTCTACTTGTGTCTTTTACTAATTTCATCATCTTGATAAATAACTTGTTTTATTAAAAATAAAATATTAATTGACATCCATTGCTTTAATTAAAAAAGAGTAATCAATGATTCTATGGTTGATTTTAAAAATAAGAAAATACATTTACAATTAATTTTAACATGGAAATAAATTAAATATCAGCCAATAAAAAATTAATATAATGGTAGTCAACTAGTCATTTTAAGGATGAGTACCATAGAATTTTTATAAGAAAATAGAAATAAAGAAAAGACTAATACTCAAATCACTGCATATATTCATGTCTTCATGATATATAAGAAAATAATTCATCCCTTACTACGATATATAAGAAAATACGGAGTAGAATAAAGAAAAGATTAATACTCCATATTATTAATACCGACTGATATATACGTGTTGTCATCAAATTTCAGACGTATACTATTGAAATGCATTTAATGCTTATATACCGTCTAAAGGACTACTACTGTTGTATACTCCAATCTGAATAAATCATAATTGTTTTTTAAATAGCAAATCAATTGTCTACTACTCACAATAATTACTACGAAAGTACGAAGTAGTAATTTATATTGGTAGCATTCTAGCTTTCATCAACTTTAAGATATTCTAGAAACCACAAGTATAACCGTACCACTTCACATCAAAACAAACAAACGTAGGTAAACCAAAAAATCTCATACTATAAATTTAAATCATTCCTCCTATAATTTTTTTCAAGAAATTTTCACTTTCTAGAAAAAAAAAAAAAAAGAACTACTACCCCAAGTTTTAAGGGAATCATCTAATTCTACCTACAAAAACTAGCCTCTTGGTCCCCAATTTAGATAACAATTAACCAACCTTTCAACTATACTACCTTACAAATACACTTACAACCCCTTCTTTTTTGGCCTTTCTTATATTACACCTCTTTTGTTATCTCCCTTTGCTTAGCTTAGTTTAGCTTATCCATTTCTCTTCTTCTAAAGTTCTCTCTTGTTATAGCTTGCTATGATGATGCACCGGAAGTTGTTGGAGATCGCGGTAGCGGCACCGACTACGACGAATAACCGGACGGGAGCACCGTCTAATATGGATACTCAGTTGACTCAAGCTAACTTTGACACCAACATGGTGATCATCTTGGCTGCTTTGTTGTGTGCTTTGATATGTGCTCTAGGGTTGAACTCTATGGTACGGTGTATTTTGAGGTGTGGGCCACGGTTCGGGATGGAGACCGCGGAACAGGCGGCCGCACGGATGTCGGCCACCGGGCTAAAGAAAAGCGCGTTAAAGAAAATACCTGTCGCCGTCTATGGGGCAGACGGGAGTAAAGGAGGGTCATCAGACATGAGTATGGATCCAAGTGATGACACAGAGTGCCCCATTTGTCTAGGGGAGTTTATTGATGGGGATAAAGTGAGAGTGCTTCCTAAGTGTAACCATAGGTTCCACGTGTCGTGTATCGACACGTGGCTTGGGTCCCACTCGTCGTGCCCCAACTGCCGCCTCTCGTTACTAGAGACTATTGGCTCTACGTCAAAGGCGGCAGGAGGGGACATAATAAACGACGAGGGTAGCCAATCGACGCCACCGTTACGTGACGGTGGCGACAGGAGTGGCAGACAGGACCACGTGGTGGTTGAGGTGAGTAGTGGTGGGAGTTGAGTAAGTATTAATTGTGATTTTTATAGTTTATGTTTTGTGTATTGGTGGAAAAAAATTAGTGGTCCTGTAAAAAGAAAGATTGTTATGTATTACAAAAAGAGGGAGAAGCTTAGCTAAGATAGCTAAGTCAAATTGATCAATTACACCAGTCTTGTTTTTGTTGAGATGCCATTTTGGAAGGTATTCTTTTGACTATCATCTTTCATCTTCTATTTGGTGTTTCATTTCCTTTTGTGTTTTAATATTTTTTAGATTTAATTTGTTACTCCTTAATTGAGAATATTAGATGCTTGATATAAGCAACAATGAATTTGTTTTGTACATAAAATGGAAAATTGTAATACATGAAACAATGTATTCATTGGAGTACAATAATTGGTATGTATAACTATACTTTGTATAGTAGTTTATTTTGTATGTCGATGACTCAATTAGAACTCTCTCGTTAGGTTATTGAGTGAATTATTGGAGAGGTATTTTTGAAAATAGATATTATAATTTTATTCAATTACAATCCGATAATGTGATGGTTCAATAGAGTCTTAAATAACCTTTTGGATTTTGTATTTGGGTCCATTATATGTATAGAGATTAATATTCAAATTTTTGTTTACCGATGAAAATTCATACATTTTTCTCTTTCAAGTGTAGTTTTCTCAATGTATCCCGTTATGTAAATAATTTGGTTGTGTTGTCACATTAGAGGGTAAAAAATACATTAAATTACGCAATAAGTTAGTCTTTTAACTTTGAAGTGAAAATTCCAAAAACTAACCTTTTCATAGATACAGATGGGTTGGGTGAGATAGTGAGAGAAGCACTCTATTATGTACAAGTACAATAATGGCTTTTCATATATTCTAAAGGAGTAGTTGTGCAATAGGCATTTGATTAAAAAGTACATGTTTACTTTATCTCTATATGTTTCCCTATATTATGAATTATTTTTTCCATGTTTATGTTTACAATTATGTATTGGTAAAAAATATATGTTCTTGAATTTGCATTTAAAAACAGTTTCATACTATTATGTTTCAAGGGAATTATATAGTGAAAAGTTTTTGTTCGAAATGAAATGATTCACGGAAACACAAGAAGTCAAGCATATACCACAAACCAATACATAACTCTTTATAGGTGTAACTGTGTAAGGGATACGTTGTACCTACTTGAAATTCAAACACACATAACAAGCAATTAGCATTGCAACACGCATATTCTACACAATTTTGATCTTAAACGTAAAAATTATAGTATACAGCTTTTCAACAACTTTTATAAGCATAGTATACTTCTTCCGTTTTTCATTATTACTTGCAATATTTTTCTTTTGTGAAAGCTGCATATTACTTGCAACATACTCATTTTTGGGATGTGTTATTAATTAAGTTAGAGCTACTAACAATAATTGATTAAATACACATTTAGTGGAGTAATTAGATAGTAGTGGGTCCATGTCCAAGCTGTTGAGATAATTGAATTTGGCAGTTGGAGATACAATTTGACAACTTTGGAATATGCAAGTTTTCTGTGAGTTTGTCACATACTAGACATCTTTTGGCCCACAGAAAATATGGTTTAAACTAGTGGTCACCAATTTATCTAAATTAAATTTTGATCTTTATGATTTTAGATTCATTTGTAGGATTTTTAGCGTATATTGTAGAATATATAGGATACAAGAAAAAGATCTGTAGTTTGACACTGATAATTTAAAAAATAAAATTAAAAATCAATTTAGTAGTCATGTAATTTAAGAACAGAATTTTGTTGCACACTTGCATATGCTGAGATAGCCAATTAGCCTCACCAATGGGCTGGCTTTGACAGTTAAATCAATCTAGTCCACTTGAAGATTAGAAAGTGTTTATTTCTTCGATAATTGGCATTACGAGTAATTATTGTATGATCTTGAAAATCTTATCCGTCAAGGATTTAGGTTTTACCGCTAACAATTGCACGTTCATATTGTTTTCTATCTTATAAAGCGTAATTTAGACTTGACTGGTCCAATTAACACTATCCAAGTTTGAACTAGTTAACCTAGTCATGTGACAAAGAAGTCCAAGTTGTTACTGATTATCAACTCAATTTAGCATGATAGCCTCAAGAGATTCTAAGACATTATATATAATTGTTAGACCACATTATTGGTGAAACTTTCTTACAACCTCGTTCTATTATCAAAAGAGTTTTTGAACTTTTCCACAATTTATCAAACCTTATTGAAATTTATTGGAAAATTATCCGTAGTACAAGTGATTAACATGAATTATTTGTTGCACATGGGTAATAATTAGGATTTTATCACGCGATTGTCAAATTTTGATTTATTTTAGAGACTATATATATGGACTTGCAGTAACAAAATCATTCAATACTTTATGTTTCAAAAAATAAAATCATTTAATAGATTTATCTCTTACAATTTCAATGATGGCAAATGAGCAATTTGGTACAAATTAAACTTGTAATTGTAGATTTCTATCGATTAGTTTTATTTTGTTTTTTTCCATTTGAGTCACATTCAAGTTTGATGTAATCTAATTCTCTTAATAGTGTGATCATAAACTATTAACTTAACTATATTATCATTATGACATGCTTGTATTAATCAAATATCAGTTGGATTAAATTTAGTGCCACATACGTTGAGATCGGGTAATTCAGATCGGATATATGTTTAGTCAATTTTAAATTTTTAGAGGTGTTATGAATGACCCATACTAGACCATATAAAACTCCAAAACCCTCAAATTTAAGACATAGATTTTGATGCATCTCACCATCTTCATAAATGTATGTGTCTTCTTCTCATATGCCAAAATACTTCAGCTTAAATATAGCTTGGATGGTATGTAGGCTATGTATCATTCAGCATGGGTGTGTGGCCGGTGCAAGGTTTCACAATTGTTCGGAGGAGAAATTTCGGGTGGCAAATTAAATAAATATTGTACTTGTTTCCGGAATTCAAATGTTAATATCTTTAGTTATCAATAATTTAATAACAATTATAAATTTATAAAGAGTAAGTATTTAAAAACAATGCATTAAAGACAAACATAGAGTAAATTTTTTTTTTTAAAAAAACGAGTATTTCAATCTTCATATTATTTTCACTTATTTCAAAAAAAATAAAATAAAAATAAGAGTTAATTCACTAATAAGTCATGACAATTTTAGATAAGATAAACTCGAGAAAAATAAATTAAATGAATAAAATGCAACCTAAACAGAAATGAAAGAAGTACTATGAAAAGTACCCAAGGAGCTACTGGAAAGTATTCTTTCGTGCTCATATAATACGAAGCCGAAGTACAATTTAAGTGAAAAGGCAAAATTGGACACGTAATTCATGTCCAAAAATTAAATGAACGTTCATTAATAAATAAAATATATAATGGACCACCTCTTATTAATACATATCTACCAGCTAAATGATTCATTTAATTGACCAAGTTAGTAATCTCAGTACATAATCATACCACGGAGCATCAATGACAATGACCTTACTTTTTGAAGCATTTCATGTATAGTAATGTAGTTTTCTTAATAAAAATGTGCGACCTACATTTATTATTTCTTAGTTGATCATCTTATACCCGTACACGTTAATGAAGGTACAATTCTAATACTCTCCTATATATGTCCTATCTATAGCCACGGTTTATTACGACGAATGATGTCGACTAATTTAGTTTGTTAAATTTTTTGATTGGAATTGTATATTTAGATGAATTGGATATTCCATCTGATGTCTTAATTCTAAGCTTGTCCCATGAACAAATGAACAACATTAAAGAAAGTGAAAAATTGGTTAAAAGACCTAAAATAAAGTACAGATTGAGATTGTAAAGTTGTAATAAACTTGCCGTTAAAGAAATGCAACAAGTAAATAAGTAACGCATGGCGAAATATTAATATGAGATGGGATTTTTCAAATTTATAAACCTAAGCTTAGTTTTATATACAACTAGTCTGCTACATACAACATATACTTGCACACAAACATAGTATTTTGATATCTAACATATATCGAGTTTAAAACCACTCTTGATTGACTGTTTTATTCTAGTTAAGATTAGAATTAACCCTAGTTTATGTACTAATAATCAACAATTAATACAACTACCTGAACGACTTGCAAGAAATAAAATCACTAATAATTAAAGAAAATCTAAGTGAAATCGATAGAAACGCACTTATAGTACGTGTCACAAAGTTATTTAATTTCGGATATTTTAGATTTTAACACCATACAAATCAATGAAAATTGATATTAACACCACCAAAAAAAAAAGAGTTTATTTTAACACCACATAAAAAATTGAAAATTTGAAGTTACCACCAGATAACGGTTTATGTGACGGAAAAGTGACATGGGTCCCATGTTTTAGGTTTGCCTCCAAATTTCACACTTAGTAAACACGATTCTTCCTCTTCATTGATTACTTCCAACCATCTTCATTGAATTCGCTCTGAATTTTCATCTACTCAAAGTAATATCTTCATCTAGGGCATTCAATTGCTTAAAATTTGTGTGGTTGGGGATAGGAAAGTACAAGGGAGCTATCATTAGCAGGAGAAAAGCGTTCGAGGATTTCGTCATCCATCTTCAAACAAAGGGCGAAAATTGCTGACAATTACAGGTGAAAGATTCCAAAGAAGGTATCTTTTTTTATCTTTTTACAGCAATTTCGTCTATTATTGGTGAATGGTTGATGTCAATTTTGCAATTTTATGCTTAATTGGGGTTACTTTGGCAACTGAAACTGAGAACCCTAGAAAAAGGGATTATTTTGAAATTGACTGCGAATTAGGTTAATTGGTGGTTTAGGTTGAAATTTAACACTAATTAATTGGGGTTTATGTGAATGAACTTATTGAAGACTGTATATGTGTGATTTGTTTATTGATGCATGTTGGACTAGATTATTTGTTTATTTGTATATTTGAAGTTAAATATTCAATTACTGTAGTTGATTAATAAAGTGTTGATATTATATGTCTTATAATAAATTAATAATACTATTGTATCTGTGTTATTGGTGTGTAGATAATGAGTGACAATGAAGATATGGTTGACATTTGTCTAAGGGTGGGGGGTGCATTTGTCCCTAAAAGAGTTAGCAAAGATAGACAGTTGCTTTGTTGGTGTGGGGGGTGTTATTGGAGAAGAAAAGTCCCAGTGTCTAAGTTGGATGTACAGGAGATTAGGTCAGCTGCAATTCATGGATTTGTTAATGGTGATATGGAGGTGCTTGTCTATTTCAATTGTTGGTATAGGCAGAAGGGGAAAACTTTTAACACTGGTAGAAGGGAACTAGTCAACAGTGATGAAGTGAGGGGACTTTTAGAGACTAGAAATGGAGAGGGTTATGTAGAAGTCTTTGTGACAGCACAGCCTAATTTGAAGA